TCTATGTTTGCAGCAAAGAGAGGTGCCCAAAGAGTGGAACAATGCTACAACCATCCTTTTGCATAAAAAAGGAGATAGAACGGACCTAGAAAATTATAGACCTATTAGCCTGTTGAACCACATATACAAGCTCTTCACTAGGGTAGTGACATCAAGATTGGAGAAAAAATTAGATTTCTACCAACCGAGAGAGCAGGCAGGATTCCGCTCAAATTATGGTACCAATGATCACCTCCACACAGTAAAGACACTCATTGAAAAATCTATAGAATATAACAAACCTCTTGTTCTCACTTTCATAGATTTTCATAAAGCGTTCGACACGATCGAATTAGACAGCCTTATAGAAGCAATGAATGACAGCAGGATTGACCATAGGTATAGTGAGCTTATTTATAATATTTACAAAAATGCCACTATGACTGTTAAAATAGACAATAAAACCCGACCAATAAAAATAAATCGTGGAATAAGGCAAGGAGATACATTGTCGCCGAAATTATTCATAACGGCATTAGAATATGCCTTTAAGATGATCAATTGGGACCACAGAGGAGTAACGATAGACGGCGAAAAGCTTAACCATCTCCGTTTCGCAGATGACATTGTCCTTATCACAGATAATTTAGGAGAAGCTACAGATATGTTAAACGAATTGGATTTTGCATGTTCGAAGGTGGGCCTGAGAATGAACTTGACCAAAACTAAGTTTATGACAAATTTGGTCCCCAATAACCATTTGACTATTCAAGACAAAGTGGTAGAACTGGTGGAGAAATATACGTATTTGGGTCATGAAATAAGAATCAGCAGGGATAACCAAACATGTGAGATCCAAAGACGAATTACTTTAACATGGGCAGCCTTTGGAAAACTGCGAGACACACTTAGGGCCAACATACCAATCAGCCTCAAAAGAAAAGTGTTTGACCAATGCGTATTACCGGTCATGACCTATGGGGCGGAAACTATGACTTTAACCAAGACCACGGCTTCGAAACTGAGAGTGGCACAGAGACGAATGGAACGGTCTATGCTGGGAGTGACGTTGAGGGACCGAATAAGAAACGAAGATCTGCGAAGAAGGACGAGTATTACTGATGTTGTGGAACGCATAGCGGAACTAAAATGGAACTGGGCAGGCCATGTAGCGAGAATGCACGATTCACGATGGACGAGCAAAATTACAAATTGGAGGCCAAGAGCAGACAAACGCAGTAGAGGAAGACCACCTACACGTTGGGCCGACGACATCAGGCGTATCACTAAAAATTGGCAACAAAGAGCACAAAATCGTGAGGAATGGAGGAGTTTAAGGGAGGCCTATGTCCAGCAGTGGACGTGATAAATAGAGGCTGGATGATGATGATGATGACCCTTTACGTAGATAAAATACGTTAAAATAAAAGTAAAAAATTCCATTTTATTTTAATCTAAGTAAGTGAATTCGTATATAAAATTAATGGTCTCTGAACTTACTCGTTATTAGATTTAGTTTGAAGGTGTGACTTCTATATATTTTATTGGACTTACTGTTTGTACACAATTTAAGCATCTCTTTGGTTGTAATTAAGCTCTAAAGTACTCGTAATTTAGTACAACTTATTAGAAATTTGTTGGAAACAAGTTATTATTGTTTACCTCTGCATCTGAACATATATTTAGGTTATGTTGTCCGAGGAAACTAATAGATGAGTGACCCTACTTATTATGATCATTGGTTGCCTATGTGTTTTATTTTTGGAAAGATAATATGTACCAGTAAATGTAACTTCTATGTCCGATTTCCTGTTTATACATTTTTATTTTTCTGAATATATGTCATTTCCACAAATAAACGTTTCTTTAAATTCTTTCCTTTTGTAAAACGCTTGCTTTAGAGAAATTAAAGTCATGCTTGAGATTTATTGCATGATCTATTAATGCACCAAATTTTGATTTCTTTGTATTGATTTCACTTCTGTGTGACAATGTGAGCAATGTTCTAGAAGTTTCCCCTACATATATTTTATCACAATTTAAGCACGGAATTTCATACACACCCCTTAAAATTTTATTTTGTGTCAAGGGATCCTTAGTTTTAGTGCATGAGCTGGAGATGATTCAAAAGTCGTTTGTAATCCTTTTATTGGTCTATTTATTGTTATATTGTTTCTTCTTGTCTCTGAGAGTGTTGTCTCCCTAGGAAGTTGGCAGTCATAATAACTATTTTTATTTTAGAACTTGCTGCTCTAAACAAATCAATCGATCTGCATTGATACCAATCACGTAGATTCTTTAACCATGAGTTCTGCCTTCGGCCAACAGATCTTCTTCCTTGAATCTTTCCTGTATTATGAGTCTCAAAATTTCATATTTTGGTCCCCTCATCACGTGGCCTAGGTATTCAGTTTTCTGGTTTGTATAGTGGTGATTAGTTCTGTTTCTTTACCAACCCTCTCCAGTACTTCTTTATTTGTAATTCTATCAGTCCATGATATTTTCAATACTCTGCGGTATAACCAGAGTTCGAAGGCCTCGATTCTTTTTAAATTACATTTTTTTAATGTACAAGTCTCAGCTCCATATAATAATATTGAAAATATATAACAGCGAATGGTACGTAGTTGATCTCCAAATTTAGATTTTTGCACGTTAGGAGTGGCTTCATTCGTATAAATGCTGATCTGGCAATCTCTATTCGCCTGTTTATTTCTACAGTATGATCATTGGTTTCATTGATCAAAGTTCCCAAGTACTGATATTTTTCTACTTGTTCTATCACGTTACCATTGATTGTCAATAGGTGATGTATATTTTGTGGTCTTTTTGTAATTAGCATTTACTTCGTTTTTTTAGCGTTTATAGTAATTCCCATCTCAGCACTATTCATACTCAAGCTTTCGATAAAATGTTGTAGATCCTCTATAATCATTGCTATGATCACAATGTCGTCTGGATATTTCAAGTGGTTAATTAATTTTCCGTTAACGGTGACTCCCCCTTCGATATTATTGAGCGTGTTTTGTAAAATTTCTTCAGAATATAAGTTAAACAAAAGTGGCGATAAAACACATCCCTGTTTAACTCCTCTACAGATCCTCATTTCTTCTGAGTGTTGCCCATCAACTTGAACTATGGCACTTTGGTTCCAATATAATGTTTGCACTATATTTATCATTTTACTGTCAATGTGCTTGTTCATAAGTATTGATATTAGTTTTTCATGCCTTACTTTATCAAAAGCTTTTTCGTAGTCAACGAACCACAAGTGTAGATCAACATTTACATCCCGACATCGCTGAATCAATATGTTGATTTCAAATAGTTCTTCTCGAGTACCCATTCCATTTCGGAACCCGAACTGCTTACTTACTTACCCCGTGGCGTTACAACCCTTCGTGGGTTTTAGCCGACTCGACAACATGCCACTGTTTTCTGTCTTGAGCAACCTCCATCTAATTCTCCACGCCCATAGTGCTTAGGTCTCCTGCTATATTATCTCGCCACCGGAGACGAGGGCGTCCTAGTGGTCTCCTTCCAGTTGGGACTTCCTCCCACACCAGTCTTACTGTTCGTTCGTCAGAATGTCTTCTGAGGTGTCCTGCCCATTGGAGTCTTCTGGGCTTTATTTATTTTAACCCGAACTGCGTCTCGCTAATATCCTCCTCTAGCCTTTCGTATATTCTCTTATGTATTACTTTTAGCAGAACTTTTAAAGTATTACTCATGAGGCTCAGTGTTCGATAATCAGAGCGCTCTTTTGCTGCTTGTTTTTTAGGGATGGTTATAAATGCTGAGTTCAGCCACTCTTGTGGTATTATTCCCGTATCGTACACCGTGTTGAATAAATCTGCCAATACTTCCAAGTTATCCTCTTCCGCTAGTTTTAACAGCACTATAGTAACAATAGTAAAAACTGAAGTTCTCCATTCAGCAATACAGGATAGTTTGAACTATGTTCTTCCAACCATTAATTAATAGAGTACCGGCATGTAAGTAATGTTTTGTTTATTGACTAATTTATTACAATTCAATAGACTATTTTTATACCAATTTGTGGGTCTTACTTTGTCTGCTTAAACAGTTTATTCATTTTGGAAAACCACAGACATGTAATATTGGCATAATTACTGTAATTTATATCATTTATCTTTGTTTATCTTTATAAGACAACACCCTAATATGGGTTTTATTATTTCAGCATTTAATTAACTTTGTATCGACAGACCTGAAGATGCTTTGCATATTGTAGAAAGCGAAACCGGTCGTCTAGATAGTTAAATTAAACTGATTGTGAGTAAGTCTTATTTATTATTTCTTTTATAGTTATAATAGAAAAAATAGTTATAATCCATTTATCTTCCAAAATTTTTAAGTTCTTCTATGACTCGTATATTTTTTAGTCCAATGTCTTTAACACTTGAAGCTATTGTGGGTTTTCGTGTTTAACTAAAAAATCAGTAAAATGGCATCTAATATCGTAAATATATTTGGTTATAACAACTTGTATTCTTATATCGATGTTTATGTAAAAGTCGCAAGGCGATAACGTTCATAGTGGAAGCGATTGTACGTCATTACGACGTCGTAAGCTTGCTACAGAATGGTGGATGCGCTCACGCAATTTAACCATTGAGCTCAAGGCTCAGGTCAGCGGCGCACTTTTTAAAATCAGCTTAACATAAAATTGCCACGATAGTTAAATCATTTGTACTAATATACTTTCTTATATGAGATATGGTACCAATAACGCACATTGGAAAGTTGTTTTATGGTTTCTGTACATTAAAAAAAATGTTTGCATATGCTCATTAGGCCACAAATAGACATACAGCAGGCTGCATACGCCCGAGTGCCGCCGTTTAGCCGCCCTTGATATATATTTTACACTTTCATACAGTTAATAGATCGGTCTACATGAAGTGTATGTTTTTAAGTTTTAGTGATGTACTCCTAGAAATAGATTAAGACCGAATACAACAATCCTATTTCTATTAAATGGCTATTACAAAACTTACCTAACGAATTAAGTCCGTAGTGGGCTTGGTATACTGTACTAGAACTACTTATTGGTAGAGCAGGACTAAGTCCTGAACTTTGGTTTAGTTGACCTAATGACTGTCCAAACCCACCCATTGAACTTTGGCTTAGCTGACCCAATCCTGAAATAAAAATATTATATAAAAATTTGCAAAAATATTATTACTGTTTTGTAAAATTGTTATTATACAAGTTTCCCATATGATGCCGACTTAATTAAACACATGTGTATATTATTAGTTTAAAATGTTCTTTTATTCGTAGATTAAATAGTGCGAAGTTTAGAAATAAGAAACAACATCAATCTTACCCGTTGCCATACCAGCAACTCCCCATCTTGATTCCGATGTACTAAACATGCTTGACCCACATAGACCATCACCCATTGCACCAAAAGGGGGAAGACCATGAGAAGGTAGGAGAGCACCAGGAGTGCGAAAAACGTTCGTGGTCTTCTTCCTTTTCTTCCATTTGGCTCGTCGGTTTTGAAACCAAACCTGCAAAGGATACATAAAATTTAATTCGATTTAAAAATAGAAATAATATAATAGTATACTCTGACAAGAAAACATGGAGGGTGCTTTATTTTTAAAAACCCATTTTAAAACTGCCACTTGGAATCTTATACAATTCCAATGGGGTGGTTATTTTATATTTTTTTAAACTGAATAATTTTAAACGAATTTATTCTGTTCGTGCCGTTATTGTTTAGTAAAATAATTCGTGTTATCTCAAAACTGTTATCAAGAAAATATAAAACCTAACGGCGATGATTATATTACTATCAAAATTATACATATCATTTTCATTTGAAAATTAAATGGTCTGGATAATATCTAAATGGTCTCTGAAGTGAGAATTGCATTGCTTGCAGTGTTTATCGTTGTTGTTGTGGTATCGGATGTTAAATTTGTGTTAGATTGCTGTGTCTTAATAGTTTTCGTACTCATTTTGTTAATTAGATTTTTATTGTGAATTAAGACAAACTATTAGGCCAAAAAAGACGATTTACCGTATATTTTATCATTTTTTCGTGGAATAAAAATGGATATAACCAGTGGTGTAAGTTCACGACATCCACATCATACACCCGTTTTATAAGAAGAAAAACAAATTATCTGCAACGAAAAACAAAGGTTTATATATATATATATATATATATATATATATATATATATATATATATATATATATATATATATGTATAAACAACACAGTTCATTAGGGTTGCAGTCAGAATATTGGCCGGGATGTTAAAAATATTATGTTTATAAATATTATGTTACATATAATATGTTAAAATAATTGTATATTTTAATGTGTATTATAAATGTTGAGTGTCAATGCTTATATAAATAATCTCAACGACTAGTAAGTTATACTGAAGAATTGTGATATTTTTTAAATATTTACATATTTGTCTTATTACAGTGTCTTGAAAAAGGAATAAAACCATTCCGAAAGCTCGACAAAAAGTCAAAAGAGTGTTTTTTTAACATCCCGATTTCATAAGAAAAATGTTGTTTGCAGATGAGTCTTTCTTTTCTTTTACTGGCTATCACAATCCATCCATTACCGTAGAGTACTCTACAGAAAATAGGCACATATGTGTTCCTTACAAAACACAATACCGTCAAATAGTCAACGTCTGGGTTAGTATATTAGGTGACAACGTAATTGGCCCTTTTTTTATTGTGGGCACTTTGCGTCGTCTTAAATACCCAGACCTCCTAAGAAATCACAAACTTCATCAGTTTGAGCATTACCCATTAATATGGATTAAATTTGGTTGCAGCAAAGATGACTATTAAGCTCACAATGCAAGGCGTTTAAAGCTAAAGCTTAAATGCAAGATTTTAAAAATTACGTTTCCAGATAGGGTTATTAGTAATACAATAGGCACCATAAAAACGCCACCTCGCTCTCCTCATCTTGCACCTTTGGACTTTTTTGCATGGGGTTATTTAAAGCAACCAATTTACCGACATGAGCATAAACGTGCCGGAAATTTAGACAAATTACGTCGCAAAATCATTCAGGATTTTCAAAGCATCCCGAAAAAACCGAAATGTTGTCGAACACTCGAAGGAAATTCTACAATAGATTGCGCTACTGCTTGGCTGAACGTGGTGGACCTTTGAAAAATTAAATTTAAAATAGTTTTAATTAAAATATGCCTTTGTTTGTATGGTTAATGGCAACCAGGAACAAATTACGAATATTGATATTGGCTAGCTATTATGATTTGTACAACATTTTTGTTAATTTATTGTTTTTGCACAAAATGAATTTCTATTAAACCATAAAGATAAGATAAAATAGATAAAACGAAAAAGATTTGTTATTCAATTTAGATTTCATAAAATGAATCAAGTCAGCTGACAGGGAACGCGTACTATCCCCCACGATTATTGGTCGTCGTCGTCAGGAGGGAGACAGATGAATCCTGGGAGACAGCCGGAAAGTGGTATGACGGCGGGAGTGTTGCCAGGACGAACCCGATGTGAAGGAGTGAAAATGGAAACGGGCGAGGCCGTTCGATAATGCTACTTTTAGCTTCATAATATTACGCTTTTATTCGCTTCGTTTAAAAGCGGACGAATTTATAAAAGTATATTGATATTCCTTTACATCCGATATTTTGGAAGGTATTGAAATGAATTTTAAAGCATAAAAAGTGAATGTCTTCTTTAAGAAATTACATAAACTGTCGATTACACTTCTAGAGTATTGTAACAAGAAAGTTGTGATTGTATAAACGGGTAAATGGTTAGCGATTAATATTTAACAAACTCTAATATGCAAAATATTTTAAATCTATATTTATGCACTAAAATGTGGCCCTGAAATGTGGCCATTGTATGTTTTTTTTAAGTTTTGTTTTGCTTCGAATATTGTACAGTAAATATCTAAATATAATTAGAAAAAAAACAGAAATAAAAATAATGACAAAATATAATATACCACCTACTTCTAAATGTGTCTGTCTTCTACAGATGTTGGCGACCACATTGACCCATCTTATTCTATTTACAATCAACTGTTGAAGTCGGTATTTATATTATTACTCATGATGTGGCCGAAGTAAATTAATTTTCTGTTTTTTATGCTGTTAGTAATTTCTTTGTCTTTTCTTAGCCTCTGGAGAATAGTTATGTTACTTGTGTGGTGTATATACGAGTCTCAACATACGTCGGTAGCACCACATTTCAAATGCCTCCAATCGTTTTATGACATCTTCTGCATGGCTCGACATGCAGACAAAACAAAACAAAAATAAAAGCGCAGCGTAACTTTTATAAGTTTTAATGCATCGAACAATATTTTTTTATTTTACAATATACTCGCATCAACCTCTGAGGTTATTAGCGTCATACATATATACGTAGATATGTGCGTAAGATAATTTATTTACAAATTTTAGATTTTGTTAAATATATTGATATCTTTAAGGAATTTTACCAAATGTCTAATTTTACAGTTTTCTCCTAAGATTTCACTTGTGATCCGATGATATGGTTCTTCTGTCTCTGCAACTGGTATCTTGAGCACTCTACAAGTACATGCTTAACATTTAGTGGGATATTACAGTTTTCACATAAATTGGGATTATTGTGAACAATTATGTGACCGTGGGTAAGTCGGGTATGTCCTAGACGAAGACGAGTAATAATGACTTGGTGAGTTCTGTTGGAATTCGAGATTTCCACGGTTTTACAAACGTTTTCACTTCGCGAAGTTTTGAAGTTGAACTGTCCCACTGGTTTTGCTACAGATTTTCGACTTTCACTTTAATAAATGATTTTAAATCGTTAAAAAATATACTGTTTCACTGTTCCTGGCTTTTTAAGCTGTACGATCCGCTTTTCATTTTCTTGAAGGCCAATGTGTGAAGGAACCCATAGAATTACAGTAGATATTGTTTTGAATGGTAGCCAGTTCTTTTTTGATTAGGGGACCAATTGGATGCTTCGTGTACAGTTGGTTAATGATATTGATGGAACTGAGGGAATCGGTAATTATAAGAGCATTGGATATATTACTGGAGTTAATATGAACGAGAGCTTGATAGATGGCGTATAGCTCGCCAGTATGTATACAGCTTAAAGATGGTAGTTTATACTCAAGTGTAATATTTGGAGTAATGACAGCTGCCCCAACTCCAGTAGATGTTTTAGAAGCGTCTGTGTATATATGATAGGATTTAGAAAATTTTGTTAGTTTGTTGATAAAAGTATTTTTTATTAAGGAGTGTGGAGTATCGTTCTTTCTGAATTTTTTTAAGGATGTATCGGATTGAGAAATGCTTAATGTCCAAGGAGGAGGAATTTCTATAAAGTTGGAATAGTAGGCGAATTTGTAAAGTTCTAAGGTTTGCCTAACTCTTTCGTAGAATGGCGGTTTTATGTTTCTATTTTCAGTATATAGGTTTTTAAAACGATCAGTAAATATGTTACTTCTAGATGGATTGTTTGGATTAGAATTAGCAGCAAATGCGTATGTGAGAGATAAGTGCATCCTTCTATATTTAAGTGATGGCTCTCCAGTTTCTGCTCGTAAACTCTCTATTGGGCTGGTCCGAAATGCTCCTGTAGCTATTCTTAATGCCGTATTTTGAATTACGTCAAGGTGGTGTAATAAGTATTCTTTAGCAGATGCATATACTATGGAACCGTAATCTATTTTAGATCTAATTAGGGTTTTATAAACATGGATTAAGCAGTTATAGTCAGCTCCATAGTTTTTATTAGATAGAGTTTTCATAAGATTAATTCCATTTTGGCATGTTTTTTTATTTGTAGAATGTGTTTTTTTCAAGTGAGTTTCGTATCAAAAATCATCCCTAAGAACCTAATGTCATCGGCATAATTCAGGATTTGATTACATAATTTTAGTTGCGGTTTAATCGGATCACGTTTCTTTGAAAATAACAAACACTTTGATTTGCTAAGTGAAAACTGCAATCCTGTTTTCTTCGACCAGTTTTCGAGTCCATGAAGTGAGGTTTGTAAGTCACGCTGTACTGATGAGATGTTTTTTTTTGAAGATACTAATACCAGGTCATCTGCATATAATCAGACCCCTGAGAGGTGCCATTAGCTTGACGTCTTGTTGAATATGTGCAGTGGTTGACTCTTACTTGAAAATTGCGTTGTTTATTAAAATTTGAAATAAAATTAATGATATTACCTCTAATATTCCAAGTGTGTAATGATCTGATAATATCGTAACGCCATGCTGTGTCAAATGCTTTTGTAATATCTATGAATACTGCAATAGTTTCCTGCTTGTTCGCGAAATTTTCAAGAATATCAGATTCTAAATTTATGAAGTTATCAGTAGTAGTTCGATTTTGTCG